TCATCCTTGGCCAAAATTAAGGCTTGGCTCTTAGAATAAGGCGGGACCCTACAGGCTAGACAAGGGCTCATAATCCCTCCAGGGTGTAGCCCGAGCCCTAAGTCAGTCAAGAGAAAGTTGTCCCTACCATGTCCCAGGGACACCCCTTGACTCACCCCAACCACTTCCTGCCACTTCTTTCCCTTTTTTCCTTGGAAATCTCCATGCTAACAGCCCTCCCCACCCAGGCTTTGGCCAGGGTGGGGCCCAGGCCAGAGAGGCTGTGGGAGAGCCTCCCCCAGGGCATGAGGAAAGAGTGTCCCTTGCTGCTCAGACTGTTTTCTGTCCCTACAAGGTATAGAGGCCGCCCCAGGTCCCCCAGATCCCAGGGTCAGTGTCTGATGAGAGCCCTTGGCAGTGGGAGTCTTCCCTGTTTCTAGACACAGACTTGTGCTCATAAACCCCAAACTTCCACTGTCTGGACAGGACCTAGGGCCTGAGGCTCCACCATAACACTGAGCCCCTTATGTGCAGCTCTGCCCCTTGGGGTCTCCTCTGAGCCCAACCCTCCTGGGACGGGTGATAAGCTCACATCAACAAAGTGAGCTGGTGGTATGGGCATGGCCAAGAGGTGTTCCAAGACCTAGCTCGTCCTGTGAGCCTCAGGGTCCTTAGCTCCAAGGAAACTCCACAAGTTACAGCAGACAGGACTTGAACCCTTCCTTCAAGCCCAGGGCTGCTCCTCTTTCTCCCCTATCTGCACCCTGCCCAGCCCAGGTATTGGGGTGACTCTGGAAAATGGAGGCCAGAGAGGGGATAGGTCACTGAAGTAGGGTGTGGCCAGATGCAGATGGCACAGAAGGGGACCTACCCTTCCACCTCTGCCTTGAATGCCCTTATTAGAGAGAGCAAAGCCTTTGCCAGCAGGTGTATAGGGCCTGCCTGTCACTTGAGATGGGAGGGACAAGATAGGGCCAAGAAGCCTGGAGTCTCATCCTCTCCCATATGGGGACCCTCCCCACCCAAGCCAAGCCCCCGTGTGAACTTGACCCTGCCCATCAGAACTCCCTGAGACCACCTAGCTCTGCCCCTGCTGGAGAGACTGAGGCCTGGAGGGACAGGCCTACCCAAGCTCTGCTCCTTACACCCACAGACACATCTTCCCTGGCTAAAGTCTAAACTCCAGCTCAGAGCTAATCTTCAATCTCGGGTTGAGCAGCAATTGGCTCAAAAGGAGACTGGGTGAGGTGTCCTTGTGTCATAAGAATGCTAGTCCCACTGTGGCAGGGCCGTGCCAGCTGCCCTCTGCCCCAGATCTGTCTCTAGCTGCCCTGGCTGCTGACACTAGGATCTGAACTTTGGCAGGGAGATGAGAGGACAGCTGCGGGAATCAGCCACTGCCATCTCTGAGGAGCCTTCACCTGCTCCTACCATCCCCCTGCCCTGCCTGACCCACAGCCTTGTGTCTCTGCAGGATCCTCCTCTCTCCCTCCCTGTGGGGCACCCCATGCCTGTCTGCCTGTCCCTTGCACCCTCCAAGACATCCTCCAAGCCTTAGCCTCTCAGCCCAAATTGTCCCCTTTGGAAGCCCAAGTGCGGTCTGATCTGCACTCGGCTGAGAAGCTGGAGAAGCCCAGGTCTGAGATAACAGGCAGATGCCACCAATGGCCAGTTAGCTGTGCAGAGTAGCCCGGAGGAATTCTTGTCAGCAGCCACCACCCAGTTGCCAACATCTGCTTGTCTTTAG